TCGTCGGGGACTACGGGTTCGACCCGTTCGGCCTCGGCAAGCCCGCGGAGTACCTGCAGTACGATCTGGATTCACTGGATCAGAACCTGGCTAAGAACTTGGCGGGGGACGTTATCGGCACGAGATTTGAGACTTCGGATGTGAAGTCGACGCCGTTTCAGCCTTACTCGGAGGTTTTCGGCCTCCAGAGGTTCCGCGAGTGCGAGCTCATCCACGGTAGGTGGGCCATGCTCGCTACTCTCGGTGCCCTCTCCGTCGAGGCCCTCACTGGCGTCACCTGGCAAGATGCTGGAAAGGTACCAGACCTACTGCCTAATGCATGCATACATACATACATACACACATACATAAGACTACAATAACAGTTTAGGTGTAGTTTAGCACATAAAAAATGAGTAGTTAAGGAGAGAGAATCTCTTTTTTTTTTTTTAACCTGCCAAACGCTAAAAGAACCGTGTAAACTGAGTTAATCCGCGTTAATCTTTCAAACACAGAAATTAGAAGGAAGGTTAAAACAATCCTTCTAGAGGAGTTAAAATGAGTTAATCGCTAAAAGTACGGGTTTACTAATCTACTTCTTTTTAGACGGGTTAAGAGATGACACCCCCTCTTTATTCTCGAACAATACAAAGCTCATAAATAAACTAACAAGGTTAACTCTTCCGCTGAACGTAGGTAGAACTGATCGATGGAGCATCATACCTGGGGCAACCCCTTCCCTTCTCCCTGACCACATTGATATGGGTCGAGGTTCTTGTGATCGGATACATCGAGTTCCAGAGAAACGCAGAGCTGGACCCAGAAAAGAGACTGTACCCAGGAGGCAAGTTCTTCGACCCCCTCGGCCTGGCAGCCGATCCTGAGAAGAAGGAAACACTGCAGCTGGCGGAGATCAAGCACGCTCGCCTCGCCATGGTCGCTTTCCTGGGATTCGCAGTTCAAGCCGCGGCCACGGGCAAGGGGCCCCTCAACAACTGGGCTACTCACCTCAGCGACCCCCTTCACACCACCATCTTCGATACCTTCTCCTCCTCTTCTTAATCAACGAGAGTATTTATTCGCTCCGTCGACGCGATCCTGTACTACGTATCCCTTGTTACATCTCTGAATTTCATGGCTCTGTAAATGAAAATTTTAAAATCTTTGCTTCACTGGATTATCAGAATGCGTTGCTTTATGTGTGAAACCAAGCCACTGAATCTGAACGTGTGCACATTACGGATGCAGGGATTCAGCATCTCCCATTTAGTGATTTTTTTTAAACCGTAGTCGTGAATGAGTACAGTACATATTTTCGAGTAAAACTTTTATCGGAACACTTCACCGCGTGGGGTGATCTGAGTCATGTAGGGGCAGTGAAATAACATATGGTTCATCCTCTATGTATGCATTTATGAGTAAATCATAACAAATTATGACGCCTCAAAAAGAGTTAGAATTAATATAAAACTATAAGCCTTGATCCTCATCATAACTTCGGAGTTTTTGTTTAATGGTTAGAGGAGCTAAATTTAAGACATACAAAAGAGAAAACAGATATCACATATGGTACGTATGAAAGAGTACATGTGGAGTTGTGAAGTAGCTCCTATAGATTCCGAAATAAAGATGATTAGGAGGAGGAAGAGGAAAACAAGGACCCGGATCCTCTCCTCATGAGGAGAGGTCCTCATATCTCCTCATGAGGAGAGAGAGTGAGGTTGAGAGGAGAGAGAAAAACCTCACTCTCTCTCCTCTCTAACTCTATCTCTCTCCTCACGAGGAGATATAACGACTCTCCTCATGATGAGAGGATCTGGTTCAGAAAACAAGAATATCATGTGAGGATTTGATATAATCCTACTATCTCTATATCATAATATTGATGTATTCTGAAATCAATTAACATTTAATTATGTTTTAACATACATCAAATACATCATTTTTGAATTTCTTATTTTTCTTTGATATAGTATTTGCTTCTGATGAATGTAAAATGTTTTCTAGCAAAAGCCTTTGGGATCCACACTGTAGTCATAAATTATAGATTGGTTTAATTTTGAGGAATGGAGGTTGTATAAGAGAAATTTTAGGATCAAATCAGGACTGACATTGACTAGTACTATATGGGAAAATCCATCTAGGATGCCCCGAAATCCGTCTGGTTTGCTTATTCTAGAAGGAAATCGGTCTACGATGCTCCGTCCAGAATGCTCATCAAATCATAATGACTAGGTAGAGTTTTGGTCTAGGATGTATCCTAGATGGAAAACCATCTAGGATGTATCCTAGACAGAATTCCGTCCATGATGCACATCCTAGACGGAATTCCATGTAGGATGTAATAAAATTTTCAAAAAAAATTATTTGTGCAATTTGTCTCTCGTTATTCTCTTCATAACAATTATAAATTGCCAAAAATTATGGGTTGTAGCTCTTGAATATGTGAATTTTGAACTCTACGAAATTATTTGCTAGAGGGTCAAAACGACTAGAAATGACCAAAACGACTAGAAATGACCAAAAAATCATGAATCATTGTTCATGAAATCACTAGCCTCCGTAATATTGTTTGACAATGGTAGAAATGAATAAAAATGACCAAAATTTGTGAGTTATAGCTCATAAAATATTGAATTTTAGCATCCACAAATTATTCCCTTTTAAGTCTAAATGACTAAAAATTATAAAAAATTGCCACTTGGTCAAAATAAATACAAATACCAAAAAATTATGAGTTATAGCTCATGGATAGGTTATATAAATCATGAAATTATAAATTTTGGACTGTACTAAATTTTTGCCAATGGGTTTGAATGGCTAATAGTTAAGAAAATCGTGGGTTATAGGTCAAGAAATCATGAATTTTAGATAGGTCAAGAAATCATGAATTTTAGATCCTGCGAAATTATATGCCATTTGGGTGAAAATAAATAAAAATGGATAAAAATCGTGGATAGTTCATGAAATCATGATTTTTTGGACTCTCTAAAATTATTTATCAATGGGTTGAAATGACTATAAATTGCTAAAATGTTATGGTTCATAGCTCTTGAACATGTGAATTTTAAACTCCACATAATTACTTGCCAAAGGGTCAAAATGACTACGAATGACGAAAAATCATGGTTATAG